CCAATAGTTTGAATATAATGATCCTGATATTACTACACTCTTGTACAATTTGAACAATACAAATACAATTCATTGAAATGAGCGGCTCAGATATGTGAGAAGACATCAGTAAATCATCAATACTTCTTGGAGTAAGTAAAATCGCCCGAAAATGTATGCATTTTTCTGTAACTAGAGAACCTGGGAAATTGGATTGCGTGAAAAAATCACAAGGTTCCTCGGCATATCTGAGGACAGATTATTTTCAAGTCTGATGCCACTACAGTAATGTACGCATTGATCAATAGTGATGCAATGTACTGAGACGAGCGCTGCCCAGCAAGTGAGATACCTTCAGAAAATCAGATATTTCTTCGAAGGTGAACGAAATCGATCGACAACATATATACTTTTCTGAAACTAGAGAACCTGGAGAATGCGATGGTATAAAGAAATCGGAATGTTTGTGGGCAAATCTGAGGACAGTGGTGATTCAAAGATGGTTACCCTATCACTGATAATGTAATGAAAAGAATGATCAGTAGAGATATAGTGTACTGCAATGAGTGTTGCCGAGCAAGTAAGATACCTTCATATATAATTTTCTGAAACTAGCGAATATTTATGACATGGTGATAACAGAGAGAACTAAATCCGCAATGAATTATAATTTCGGATTAAATGAATAGATAAAATATTTCAAACTGTCTTTGTTGATTTGAGTTTATGAAAAGCGATTGTTATAAGGATCTTTCGTAACTGATCACAATCATGTTTCTGATGAGGATGCCAAACCTCACTTGTATATACAAATACGTTCATTGTAATGAGCGGAAAAGGGTGAGAAAGGGTTACACACAACATTTACAAGTTCATGCCTAAACTAAGAGGTCATTAGGCTTAAGAGAATGAGGAAAAACGCGAGATTTACAATAGGCTTCACTGAGAATAATATCAATATTATTGATGTATCGATCAAATTTTAGATCATGTCAACCAAAATGTCACTGGATTTCATACGATTTACGAGCCGTGTATATGTTGTCGAGCGATTTTGTTCTCTACAAGTAATATCAACTATTTTCTGAAGCCATCTCATGTAGCTGAGTGGCTCATTCCAATACACTGCGTCTGTATTGATCAACGCATACAAGAGGATAGTAATATTAGGATCATCATGTTCAAGCTAACGGTAAATACTATCCAGTACGGATTAATTTCAGTTGGTATTAATATGCATGTGACTTTTACTGCACAATAGGTCAATACTGTTCAGTCTGATTTCATTTCAGTGAGTATAAATGTGCAATTGACCTGTTCTTCATCTCATGTGAATTGATTACGTTCATACTATGAATCCAAACTATATCCAGTTGTTGCTTAGTGTTTACCATTGGTTTATTTCTCATTGCATGGATCACAATTAGCTGCGATCATGCTTATTTACTCAAACTGAATTAATTTCAGTTGAAATATAATGCTTCCTAATCTAGAAATCAGTTCTTAATAAGCGGAGAGAGCTGTGGCACAATGTCTTCATGCATGCCATGGATGACGCGTGTTCTGTGTGTTAAGCCGCANATAATGCTTCCTAATCTAGAAATCAGTTCTTAATAAGCGGAGAGAGCTGTGGCACAATGTCTTCATGCATGCCATGGATGACGCGTGTTCTGTGTGTTAAGCCGCACCCCTTTCTCCTTGACATAAACTGCAAGATCAAATTATTTTGGAGTTATTGTTTTGTTCGAGAATTTTAGTTGTAATTCTCAAAGTAGGCGTAATCGTAACAAAGATAAGAATCCAAAGATGTTTTGTTATTCGTCCTCAAATTAGCATTCAACGCTTTTAATTGCCAAAGAATTAATGTTTCATTTCGGGTCAACAACGAGCATGACATAAGCTGAAACTGATTAGCTGAAAGCAGTACATCTAGCTGTATTAATTGTGAACAATGAAGACCGAAGGTGAATCATCTCAGAGCACATCGACTCGACGTGACGTTCGTGAATCAGAACGCAGTCATTCGCAGCGAATAGCCAAACGTTTGCATCGTGATAATCATCAACGACATCATCATGCTCATAGTCGTCGTCCAGTTCACGACTATCACCTGAAACTGCCACACAGATAAGTCGATTGCAAATCAGTTGATTAGTCTTTAGAAGCGATCTACCCAACTTCAGTGTTATTCAAGATTAAAAAACTGTAAGTCAGTGAGTGAAACAATGGATTGCTTCCGTTGAAGGTTTAATTGATTTTGGTTTACAACGATCGGTCATCTCTATTTTCCGCCAAATGACTCAAAAAGTCCTCGTCAAGTTGTCATCAACAAATTAGGAATCTTTAAACGTAAACGTTTTGCTTTCCCGATCATCTCGAACAAAATCTGCAAGACAATATTGTTTGCGCAAGAAATCATTGTTGTATGTGTATGTAATGTGTAATGCATCCAATGATAACAACATCCAACTTTACATGGTGTCAGTACCGTCCATTTGGTAAAATTGTTGATGGTACGCGTTTCGTGGCCTTCAAGACACCGTTACGTGACGATTTCTTTCGTTATCATAGACGCAATTTGAAACAAGAAGATCATTTCGAAGCGAAAACACTTCTGAATAGTGTAAGTTTTCTTATGCAGTCGCTTTCATTCTATTCTTTCGTCGCGAATTGGGTAATATAATTTGGTGAAGTCTTACCCTCAGAGCAATCGTTCCCATGCAACATAAGCCTCGAATGCATCAGTCATGTTCAATTCAGGCATTTCGGGCTTCTTCAACCCAAAAGATGTTGGGAACAAATGACAGTTTAATAGTTAAAAATTAAACAGCATAAGCTACTGTTAAGCTGTTGTCATTTTATTCTTATGTATTTAATGCCTATTCAAGCAGACAGTCGTTCAGTTATCAAAATGCAAGTTTCGGTGGATTATCATTAATGGAGATGGTCAAATTATGAATTCATTCATTTAGTAAAATTAACGAATTGATTAAAGATGCACAAAGATGGTCGACGAATTGGTTTAGTGATCGATTTGACTGCAACTGAAAGGTATTATGATGGACAAGAATGGCTGAACGAAGGTGTGAAATATGTTAAAATCAAATGTATGGGACATTCGGCGCACAACCAAGCGGACAATATCGAAAAATTTTTTGAGGTCGTCACATCATATCTGAATGAAAACGCCAACAATGGTATTATTTTCTCTCGAATTATAATGGTATAACTTTGTTGATGGTTTTAGTTAGGTCCATTCAGCAGTAATAATGACTATATCAAAAACAGTATGAATAACAAATAAAGTTAACGAGAAAACTTTCAGATCTATTGATAGGTGTCCATTGTACGCATGGATTGAACCGAACTGGCTATATGATTTGTAGATATTTAATTGAAGTGCTAGGATGGGAACCGCAAACCGCTATACGACGTATGTTTTGGAATTTATTTTTTTTAAATTAGCATTTTGTTTAAGTTTGCATCTGTCGTACGAATTTTATTATCAACATTTTGGCATAATTATCTTCAGATTGAAACAAATTTTCAGAGTTTGAATTATCGCGTGGTTATAAAATTGAACGAGAACAATATGTGCAGTCACTGAGGAAGGATTGCATTCGAGGCTGTCGCTCTGGAATGGCATCAGTTGCATTGGTGAATAATATCGAGTTTCGAAATGAGCAGATAGATTCTGAATCGAGTGGATTAACAGCTACAGCACCTGTTGTTGTGATAGAAGAAGAGCAAGTTGATGATGAGGTTGTTGATGGGACGTCGGTTTATAGTCGATCAGAAGTTAATGGTGATGACCATGCTCGGTCTACCGTATAAACGTCATCATTGCGTCTCAAACTATGGTATATCAACTCAGGAGTACTTATTGATGATCGTTGCATATATTTGTATATATTAAGATATATTCAACGAATGAACAATTGTAGTTTTGTTGTTGATGATAATAAGAAACACAATTTGATCTTTTTGTTTGTTTGCCCTTTCATGTACGTATATGCTGGTTGTATTTGTTAGTGGCGAACGATTAAAAGATTTCTTTCGTATGCATACAGAAAACTGACCGAGAATAAACTGGAACAAATTTTTTCCAAACAATCGTTCGTCTGATTGATTGACTATGTGATTTGAGAAGTTTTGGATTGACATATAAACATAAAATGACATATGAAATAAAACGACATATAAAATGACATAAACCGAATTTGGTGAAAGTGAAGCGGTAATCTGGAAAAGTAATGCCCCAAAACGAAAATGCGACGAATAAGTACGAACTCAAATTGAGCTTTGCTTTTAATCTGGAAGATTGAAGAGAAGAAATCATATGCAAGTGAAACTGGTACGACTACGAACAACTCCTTACAGATACAACCGAATACAAAACAAAAAAGTTGCAACTTTAAATCTAAGCATACCAATCTTATAAAAATAAATGGTATCTTTCTTAAAAATGCGTGCCATTATGACAATAGAGAATCTCTGAATCAGATGGTATAGAAAACATCGGGCTGTTGAGAAAAACTGACCAAACTTGAAGCTGCAAAGTGGTACTTCTCATAGTCACGTAGTAGAATACTGTTGAGGAACAGAAAGAGCAAGGTTAGCGGCATAATTGAATTGGACAGCCCTATGAAATGCCTTTAGGATTGTCTTTTGTTTCTGGAATCAAGCAAAATCCCCCCAAAAAAACTTCATTATTGAACAGAATTTGTCGAACTTGAAATCGTATAGAAAGCGCTCGGCTGCTATGAAATACTAGCATACAAATAGATTGAAAATGGAACTCCTGATATTCTTATAGTAGTGAATCCACACTTTCCAGAATCAATCCTTCATAACGTAACATTTGTAAAAAAAGTTTCAAACTTATAACTTCATAGTTCGTAAAATATGTTTGGCTGAGCAGTAACTTCATTGTAGTGCCAAATTCAATACATTTGGTCGTAATGTTGTTCAATGCTCTACTACCATGAAAATATTACAAGAATCACTTCCAAGGTACCTGTCTGCTCAGCTTTGCGCAGCAGCACATATCAACAGAAAGGTCTTATTGTTAGTTTCAGAAATACAGTAGAATTTATGACAGCAACTTCCTATTGTGGATGTATACACAGTACCACACTCACGCCACACTTGTTCCCAAATGTTAATGACAAAACCAATGTTCTTGGTATTATCTTCGGGATATTCTTTCAATTCCGTAATATGTATGTCTTTAATGAAACACTCTTTTTCTTATGATACGCGCAGTTTAATAATTGAAAGTGTATTTCAGAATTGACCTTGATGATGGTGATGTAGAAAGTTGTTTTTATTTTGATTGGTTATCGATATGATTATCGTTTTGAGTGTCCATCATTGTTTTGCTATCATTTATTATTTTATTCATGACTCACATCTTAAATTATTCGCTAATTAATGCTCAGTTAACTTAATAATCCTTCGACAGTGCAATACAATTGCCAAAGGATAATGCCTGATCCCTCAAATACAGCTAACTTTACTAAGTTATTTCGACTTCATCTTACTGCCAAATTCGATCCAGTGTCATATTTTCAAGCTTTAAACCAGACTTCACTGTCAGCTTAACAATTCGTTCTTCAAGATCATAAATATCCATTTGCCTCTCTCTCTGTGTTGATATAAGCTTGAAGTTGACTATTGAAATTGCTGGCTGGATGAAATGGAATGCGTGCATTTGAGAACTTATAGTTGGAACCAAGATAAATCTGAGATTAAACTTTTTATGTGTTGACTAAGGAGATTTGCCCTATTGATATTGAATGATTTCAAGGTGATAAGTGAGCGAGATGTATATGAATGATTGGATATAGTGTATGCAATTGAAGTGGAACGCGAGAAACGTGCGACTAGCGTAATGAAAGTGATATTTAGGTATCATATGTGTGATTTATGAACCCTAGATATCGAGTGATAAAAATGAGATCGGAGGTGTTGTTTGTTAATGTGCGGTGTAAATTCAATGGTTTTGTTTATTCGTTCATTCATTCTTGTGATTTTAGAAGGTTATGGGGATCGATCATTAGAAGCCATCCTGATACAAGCAGAAATATCTGTTTTGAGAGAGGATTTGAAGATTTTCGGCGTGGAATATGCTTTTCGTCCATTATGATTATCAGCTGCTTTCCAGAGGATTGATTAAAAAGCAATCGACTGATTGATTGATCCCCTGGTGTTGATACAAGCAGAAATTCACGGCGATTTACTTTGATTCTAAGGGAAGAGATGAAGCTTTAATCGAAAAGTATTGATGATGATGATGATGATGATGATTTTAAGATAATTTTACTTAGGATATATTTTCGCTACATATGTATCTTAAAGTTCCACTTGAATATTATCTTGAAAATGATCGAATCTAATAAATGAATAGATGGAACATATGTGTACATACTGAATGAGCGTGACCAGTCGATTTGCCCAAAAACGTTTCGACTTACGACAGTTCGTCTAAAGACACATTGCCTAACGGACGGTTTTTAAGTGGATACTTTGCCTAATAGGCAAATCGTCTTTAGGCAAAATGTTCGGGTACCCTGAGTGAGATTTGTGTCTCATCGAGTGTTGTACTTGTTCGAATTAAAGCTCAGATTGAAGCTGTCTTAAATTTGCTCTCATGCGTTCTTCGATAAATGGCAGAACCACACTTTGCTAGTGTTATATGAAGCATTTAATGTATCTGAGAGTAATTATGTATGATCATATGAAATGGAAGCATTTGATTCGATAACTATGATGTAAAATGTAGGTTTACGTTTCAATAAACAGAAATGAAATATGCATATACATTTACTGAAGTATTTACTTCACAAGAGCGCGAAAAAGAATTTAGAAATGGTGATATGTCTTAAATTGTTCATCAGTAGGAATCAACAAACATAATGCAGTTATGATAGCAAGTATCCGTTTGACTTTGATGGTCATTTGATATGTTGATTATTTGTTCGTGGAATGCACTCTTATCAATGAAGCATGTTCACCTATACATGCCAGTATATGTCAGATCCAATGCAACATCTTTCTTATGTGCTCATTTCATTCCGTATTCGTTTTATTTGATTTCATTTCATTCAGTATGCTTTGATTTGATCTGATATAAGTTTTGGAGTTCACTTCATTCATTCGTAGTCACTTGAATTTCCTAAACCTTCGTCATTTATTTTACCAAATGAAACGAACAACTCTGGTAACCAAATGGTAACCACTCACTCACTCTCGCAGAAACAGCTGCTGATAGATGGATGATGCAACTTTTGGGTGGATTGTTAGTTAGTTAGTAGATAGATGGTTGGAAAGATGTTGCTGATAGATTCGGAATGAGTGGATAAAAGGAGTTAAGATTATAAAAGATGGAATAGGGTTGGATAAAGTTGAACTTAAGTTTGAGGTCGAACTTTATGTGTTGAGGATGATGACCGGGATAAGTTCAAGAAGAGAAATGAGAAAATATTAGAAGAATAACCCAAATGATAAGGATTAGAGATTCTACTTAGTCCGATAAGGTAAGCCGGATAAAGCTGGATGGGAATGAGATGGATTTGAAAGTTGTTGATTTTATTATCACTATTAATGTTGTCATTAATTTTTATTATCACTATTTTACGATCAGTCATAGTTATTGCTATGTTCATTGGCTTTGTTGTTGATTTAATAGTAATGTTAGTGGTAGTTGTTGTTGTCGTTGTTGCTGATGTTGTTAAGCAATAGGCGCTGATCATCCGTTCATTGATATGACAGCATCATGAACATTCGTTTGTTTCATTTCATATTCATTTAGTTATGATATTTTATTTGATGATGTTTTAGGATAAGACGCATTTTCTCTTGTATTTATTCATTGCATTTATTTTGATTTGTTTTATTATAATCATCTTTTGATCAGTCCTATTGCTGCTTATTGCCAGTCGATCTTTGGCTTCGTCTATCTTCCTTCCTTCCATCAACTGCAGTCGTTCGCTTTTCGTTTTCTTCTATCTTGTGGGCAATTTTTCAGTAATTTCTTCTCGTTATCATCCTTATCATTATCATTCATCTCATTCTCGTTTGTTCACTGCTGTGATTGGTTGTACTTTAAGCATAAACAAACAGATAGATTGAAGAAGATTTGCAGTTAGTTTTTGTGCATCTCGTTTAATTTGTTCTTGTCATTAACGCTTTTTGGTGGCTGAAATTTTAAGCTCAAGCTTAGATTGATTAGATTTACTGAGTTGTTAGGTTGGTTGATGTGATGATTGCGTTCAGTGATATGAATGATGGAATAGTAGCAGTAACAGCACTAGTAATATAGCAAGACAAGGGTTAGAGCAGAAGCTAAAGATGAAAATGAAAGCAGCTATCTTTATTACGTGATCATTCTCACTGACAACGGCATAATACTTCATCTAGCTGTTGTTACTGGTACTAGACGAGTTCTTTTCGCGTTCTCCTACGAAATTTAAAAGTTATTCAGTTGGTCACCAATTCGTTCAGAATTTTATTCTAAGATAGAATGACTTATGGTAGAACGAGAGAGAGACAAGATAAAGTGTCAGCTACACAGTTTAGAAGGTCAAGGCCAGAGTGCAGCATTGGCTCAAACTTAGCCTAATTCATAGCTTTGGTTGTTGGAGCATCAGGACGATTAGGACGGTAAGGATGTTGCTGTTGAATTTCGTTTCATTTTTGATATGCATTCGTTCAGATGAAACCTGCTATCATCACTGCTATCATTGTTGCTATCGTGTTATCATTGTTATCGTGCTATCATCGCCCGAAGTATTAGCGTCCATCCTACTATAGTGCTTGTTCACTCATTAGTCGAGGCCAAAAGTTGGTTCTCATACGACCAGCTTCAGTGATAATGATGGCGCTAATTGTAAGATTATCAGGCTGGAATCGAATAAAATTGTGCACATTATCATAGTCTTATCATCTGTAATAATATGACATCGTTTGTTCATTTGATTCGATTCCATCCGTAACGTGCAATTCAGTATTCACATCCAAACCAGTACATCAGAATATCAATTGCGAATGATGACTTCAAGCATTTATCACGATTGAAACAGTATCAACAACATCTGCATCCACAAGTCTAGCGCAAAAGAAGCATGTAGTCCATTCGATTGTTCAATTTAGGCATCTATTACTGAACATTTATTCAGCACATTCCTTCCGTTCGAATCAAATGAATGGATAATGAGCGATAAATTTATATGCAATACTTACTTTGTACGAATTTTTGCTTTAACATTGTGCGAAATGATCAACAAGCAGCAACTATTAGAAAGAACGAATCGAAAATGTTGTTGTATAGAAGGAAGATGATAGATAAATTGTATTTTTTTGTTAGATGTGGACGAATAGTAAATAATAGGTTTTTTTAGATTCCTTTAAGCTTAGTTTCGAATTGTGCTTGTTAGTAGCTCAATCATTATAGCTGTATTCATTCAATCTTTTATTTATATCTATCATTTCATTCTTATTCTTCGTGTTTTATTCATCATCAACATTCAACATCGTCGTTTGCCTCACTCGTTAGTTATTTGTGCCATTCCTTATTCATGCACTTGTGCGATTCGGATTCATTCTCGAAATAATATTGTTTTCTCGCAGATTTCGTCTATTATTACCTGTCCCCACCGAATTGATATTGTTATTGTTATTGTTATCATAACTGCTATTATTAACGCACCTGCAGAAAAACTGCAACCATACGCAGACTAAGCAGTAGATCAGGACTATTGCATCTTGAAGTAGAAGTATTTAACGTGAATGCATTGATCTGGTAACAAATATCATTGATAATATTGTCGGTCAACTTGTTATTGCTCCTGGTATCCCTAATTATTCAACAACAAACGATCATTCTCCAATGCCGACTAAAATTAATTTAGTCACAGCGAGATAATGTGTTCGTCTTTTCAATCGTTTCTCTGCTCAATTATATCTTTTCTTGATTTGGCTTTTTCAGTCAAACCCTATGAGGGCAAATTCAGTTCAATCCAATTCAGTTCATGACGAAGAGGAATGAGCTAATGAATAAGACCGATTAATCATCTAATAAATAGAGCAATAAACTTGTCTGCTTACAGCAGTCTTTCAGCATCTCATTTGTCCTATTTTAAAATCAACTATTGAAATAACTGAATGATGATTAACAACACCAATAAATGATAATGATTAACAACTCAATTATTCAATTCAATATCATCTTGTGGTTTTACTCAGTCATTTCATTCTTTTATAAGACCACCGAAAAAACCATTTTTTCCAAGCAAATCTTTCCAAAAGATTTTCAGCGATACATATGTACGTACTTCTTAGACAGTATTATTGTGATTTTCATACTGCTGCGTTTGCTTTATAAAGTCAAATCGTTGTTATTATAATGACGTAGTAAACTTTCAGTTGTACTATCAGCTAGATCCGCTCAACGAATTGAGAGTGATTTATAAAATCAACCAGAACTTCTGGTCTGTGATCAGTTATTCACTTATCAGTAGTCAATAAAGAAGGTAAGCAGTCGATGGGTTACTGTATACACAAACTGCAGATGGAGTGTTTTTTCTTTGGATAGCAAAAGAAGATTCTGAACTTCTCAGAGCGTGTTGAGAAAGTTCATCTCGTGGCTATTATTAGAACACCTGCACATATCAACGTGGTGATTTTGATGGCTTCAAGCAAAGTCAAGTTTTGACCAATGAAATTACCAAGAGCAAACAACGAGTCTAGTTTATTTTTATCACCGGTGATGGACAGCTTGCTTCAGCAGTCTCCTTCAAGTAGTGATTTCTCTGTTCCACGTTTTTGAAAACTGTTCTATTCTGTTCCATTCCACTCCAAAAACGATTCTATTCTATCCCATGCGTCCCTCGTTTGAGGCCTGTTCTATTCTATTCTATTCTACCTCTTTGTGGTATACTTTTCTAAACTATTCCATTCTGTTACGTCAGTCATGACACGATAAATCTTGTGTTAATTAGGGTTGGAAACGGGGTTTTTTGGCGTTTTCAATGCAAAGTGGGGATTATTTCGGGTGGGAGAAGCTTGTCTACGCAGGCTGTTGACAGCTTTTAACCGTGATAGTTGGAGGAAAACGGAGGGTTTCGGGCTCTAGTAACCAGCATCATTAAGGAACAGAGGGTTCCCGTTTCGTCCCAACAGTTCAGTCAGAAACTGATACAGTGTTTCTCGTCCTAATGAGTTCGGAATGAACTGATTCGTTCAATCGGACTCGAATCCTCCAAGCATAAACTTTCATTAGAGACGTAAAATGTGAAAAATTTCTGTGATGGCTTGCTCCTAGAGTTTAAAGTACGACCAACATTTGAAAGTAGGTGTTCATTCGGAAACACAGTCGCATCTTTAGTTGCATCTTGAGGGAATTCCTCACAAACAGTCTTTGGCAGTTTTCAGAATCAACTGAGATAAGTTGTCTTTGATGAATTGTTTCATCTCTCACTGATGGCCTTCCTTCTCTCTCAGTGATTTTGAATGTTTTTTGGTGGATTCGCATCTCTAATAGCTACTAGCATTGAATTACTTGAGAAACTATTTCTCCGCTATTCTTACGGAAGCCTCAAACATCTTCCAGCCACATAGTTATAATCCATGATTTGAAAAAAAATCGCAACGAGATAATTTATGAAAAAAACAGTAACAGTATTAATAATAAATCATAATAATAAAAGTTGTAAGTTGTAATAAATAACAATTCGAATGAATAATAATAGGTCAAATGAAAACAGTATTAACAAAAATAGTAATAATAATAAGAAAATGATAAATGATAATAAATAATAATAGTTAAAACAATAATATTAAATAATAACATTAATGAATAATAATGATAAAAACATAGTAATAATAATAAATAGTAATAGTAATAATGATAACAATAATAATAACTATAAATATTATAATAATATAATAACTATAAATATTATAATAATAATTTAAAAAAAAA